CGCTCGTTCGGCTCGTGTGGTTTTTCATATACTAACCTAACCTAAACACACACCATTGTTTTTAAATTACATTTCAGATGACAGCAAAAACATAGCACAATGCTATGACGAAAATTACGTAAGTGGACTTGCTGTGCACCAGCAAAGTACAGTCCAGAATTTTGGAGCTGTACGGTAAACTGTATGGTGGTACAATTTTATCTAAGAATAATAATTTTGTCGAAATGAATTTTCGGCAATCTAAATTATATGGAAAACAGACAGTATAACAAACATGATTAAACCAAACAAACTTCTGCCCAAAGAATATAATAATTTAAAAAAAAATATATTCTAGTAATAGGTTTTTGGACAAACGATACTACTGCTTTAAGACATTTCTGTGTTGCAAATTTATACCAAAACTGTCATCGCACTAATGAAAAAGTCGAACCGTTTTCGGAGTACTGAAATTCGGAAAAAAGAAATTCGAGTTTGTGATAGGTTACCGTGCCTTGGTACAAGCGCTTAAGTCCCTATTATTTTATGCACTTCTTACGTACTTTTTATTTATTATTTATCGTTTATTGCAATCATGGTATATAGAGTTGTTACAAGTAAATAGTGTTGGGTTTTTAAATATTTCCATTTTGAAAAAATCACATTTTTCACAAAAAATAAATATTTTTATAAATAGATATTTTTATAAATAGATATTTTTCCAATATATTTCCACATTTGACGTCAAATGTTAAAGTTACGGAACGAAAACGATGGAGCCATTAAAAAGGTTTTTTTCGCTGTTGTACAATCATTTTAAATCTCGTTTTTCTCTAACTTGCTTGATTATTTACGGTAAATAAAACTTGAAAAAAAATTTCTGAACGAAGAACATAATACGAGTCTTCGAATTATATTTTTCCACTATTTTTCAATTCTTCAGACGACCTCAGTGGTCCATGGTGTCGCCACCTCTGAGGTCTCAGGTTCAATCCCCGACCGAGTCAGTGCAGAAAACTAACTTTTCTATATTGTCTCGGGTCTAGGTGTTTGTGGTACCGTCGTTGTTTCCTATTTCCATAACACAAGTGATTTAGCTACTTACTATGGAATCAGAGCAACGTATGTGATGTTGACTTATTTTTAATTTATTTATTATTATTATTGGGAAGTTATATTTGAGACAAAATTTCCATCATTTAATATTTTTCGAAAAATTACCCAACAGGTACAAAGTAAATAATAATGTCACATGGACCCTGACAGGGTACAGCAAATTGTACTTAAATCCAGTTTGTATTATATTAATAATTAATTTCCATCGTAGAAATGTAACAAGTGCCAAGACACTTGTAACAAGCGACAGATATGTTACACTATGTTTCATTGCCACGCCATCATCGTGTGTCACGTGTGGCACAACCAGCGGTATATCGTGTGGCATACCTCGCGGATCGATAAGTGGCATATATTTATTATAGCAAATTGAGGCTGGAGAAAAATATGTGACCACCCCACGCTCGACCCTGTCCTCGCGACCGGTGCATGTTCGCAGATGGTGTACCCATCGGGAACACTGTTTCGAGCGCGAGTAAAAAGGTCGACGAGTGACGAGCTGACGAGGCGAATTTAGAGTGTTTACACATTCGCTGTAGCAACCGACTCGCCATGCAGATGCTACCAAAACGTAGACGTTATCCATCTTTGCAAGGTGATCTAAAAGTGAAAACACGTTAACGCGTGAACGGAGACTGGCGTCCGCAGCAGCTTCGTAAGTGTTTTGTCGACTCGTGAACGCGACTGTGTAAATGCGATAATAAAGATTGAGGTGGATCTACAATTCGAACAATGATCTATTCAGTAACAAGACTGCGAGATAACGGGACATCTCAAACTTTTTTGCTACATGTGCAATTTGTGTAAAATTGATCTTAATAACTATCAGTGACAGTACATGGACCCTGTTCGGGCATTGCAATTTAACATTTGAATTTATAGTAATTTATATTTATAAATTTATTTAAAAATTAAAATAAATAGATACGAACAATTCAACATTATTTCTAGGTCACCATACTTAATTAGGAATTTTATTTTCATTTACATGGATTAGATCGTAAAACACAATTAATAACTTAAATCGATATCATTATCATTAAGAAATTAGGAAATTTTATAGTTTGGTACAGAAAAAAATTTTTTCTGTTCATCTTTAATGCGCATAGGTATTTAATCTTGGATTCGGAAGTAATAATTGGTTGTTGCGGCGAGAACCACGTGTGAATTTAAAATGGGCTAAATTGCGTCTCACAAAGTTTACAACATCGAATATATAAAAGCAGGGAACGGTCAAAAATTTTGTTATTTTTGAAAGATGGTTTGCAACTGATTTTATTTGAGTTTATAGATACAAAATCATATTTTCATAGGTAAGGAAATTAAACATGAAGTCGTCATGTTGATAAAACTCTACTGCTCGTTCGTAAGGCAGATTCCCCCTAGAAGAATGAGCAAGAACCTTTGTAAATATACATTTGAATACATTTATCATTTACAATTTTTATTTAAAACATCTTAGATCGAGACTACCTGCAAGAGCTAAGAGGTCACTACCTCGGATTTTTATATTCAATTGTGGATCAGGAACAAGCAGTGATAATGCTGTGTCAGTCAATAAGTCCTGGTCCTCACAAATATAAACGTCAGAGTCGACACGCTAAGAAGGAGTGATAAATATGGATTGATACAGACCTGGAATGATTTCACTGTAACAAGGTTGGGTGCAAAGATCGATTTTATGATATAGAGCCCTGCGGGTCCAATTTTTAAAACCGGTGAACGCCACAACTGGATTGGAGATGTTGAGAAAAGCCAGGATAAAAACTACTCAACATCACCTGTATACCCCCTAGATTAATGCTTCGCCTTACATTATGTTTTTTTTTTGGTTTATGGGATTTCATATAAAAATATAGGATTATTATAAATTAAATTGGACTCTTGACCATGATTTTGACGTAACTGACGTAATATACTTGTCGTCTGTATGACATTGCATAATCAAACAACAAGAAAACGAGAAGAATCTTTATAGAGATTATTAACAGGGATTTTTTTGAGTTACTAAATAAAAAACCGGATCTCTGTATAGAGAACGCTGTTTTGGTACCCTACTTAGTTTATTAATGTATATGTATGTGTATATATATATATATATATATATATATATATACATATACCTTTGACAATATACCCAATGACTATATACCTATAATCATTGGGATAGACGATTGCTGCTGAAGTTACAGGCACATGGGACTTGTCAACTTATGTTTCAGGGTAACGGGTGCAGTGACAGTGCACCTTAGATCTTTGCGATTTAAAGTTCTATATGGCACTGCAACTGTTATAAATAGGTGTTTGCCTTACCACCAGGCGCATGACTTGTTCATCCCGCCACTTGGTGTTATATAAAAAAACACTCAGTCGGCGGTAATGACTCGATATAATCTTAAAGAAGTGAAGTATACAGCACTGTTTTCAGTTCATAAGCAAACAAACCTTTTAACCAAACAAGTAACCCTTCAATATAATAACTTAAACTTTAAACTCCCCACGCGTTTGGTCCGCTGTTATGTTTTCAATATCTTGCTGTTTGGTATGGAGTGTTGGATCTTGACCCCAGCATTATGCTCGAAACTGGAGTTCTTTGAGATGTGGCTGTACAGACTTATGCTTGACATGTCCTGGGTACAAAAGGTCATCAATGTTGAAGTTCTTCGCCGTATGAGAAAAGAGTTGGAAATGCTCAGAATTATAAAGGAAAGGAAGCTGCAGTATATTTGGCACGTAATGAGGGGCGATAGAAACCGGATTCTTCAAATAATAATGCAGGGGCAAATACGAGGAAAGCGTAGTCGCGGTAGAAGGAAAACCACATGGTTGAAGATTCTGAGATACTGGTTCCACCTTAGCTCACGTTCCCTCTTTCGCGCGGCAGTTTAAAAAATGAGAATAGCTATGATGGTTGCCAATCTTCGCAGAGATGTTGCACACTAAGAAAAGGAATTATAACTTAAAACGTTTATTCTATTTTTTTTATTTAATGGAAATTTGCTTTGCATTTAGGTGGCTAACTTCTTTTATTAATAAAAGTGCTTAGTGACCTGGAAGACTTCACGCTTTGTTGTTTGGGGTCATTGTTCTGTTTCTGTTACTCAATAACACTTTACCGAAGCGACAACGATGTTGTTAATTTTATGTTCGATTAAATATTTACGTTAGTCATAAATCCCAAAAACCGACTTGGGTAATTTTCAGGTTAAATTCCTCAAACTAATTTTGGTGGTAATTTTTATTATTTAAGTATTCAACTATATTATCGTGAAATATTAAATAATATTTCAGGATACTACATTCAAATATTAAATAATACTTCAAGATAAATATTCTGGAATATTTAAGTAATAAAAATTGCCCCACTTCTAATAACATACTATTATAAACAGTTGTTTGATGATATTTGATTATTATTCTTTAGGACTTTGGAAATACCATCTTTATACCCTTAGAATAATAACGCACTTATACCCTTATTTTTAAATGGAGGTTCAAAAATACAAAAATATTCGTAAAAATACACCTAAATCATAACATCTTGAATCACAATTTACACTAATATTTTATTTTAAATGCACTCTTTATTCTCTTTTTTCTTACTAGTTCATAAGAGCTTCATTAAATTTATTTTCAAGAGGTCCGGGAAAAGGAAGTCCGGTACAAAACTATGCAGGGTGAGCCTCCTTGTATTCCTTGGTTTTATCACGTACCCCCTGCTTAATCCTTTGTATGCAGACACTAAAGTATGGATGATTTACAAGGAGTTGCAAAAATGCATTTTCGCATGCAACTTCATCAGAAAAATGCATAGAATTCTGATTAGATTTAAATTTCACGGTACTAATCATATATCACTGTTTTCCTTGTGAATAACCCTATCCGAATATTATATTCTAATTAATAATAAAAACTTACGTTGCAGTTCTGATGCGACGAATTTATATTGAACATTTTTCTTGGTCCTTCATTAAAGTTGTCAACATAATTGCACTAAGAGGCTTCGATCCGGACATGTTCCATTAAACAAATTTTTGTATTTAATGAGGAACGTGAATTCACCAAATTGCGAAGTGCGTGTAATTCGTGAGGATGTACATCATTTGCTCATGGAGTGCGTTCGAACGGAACCTATCAGGTTGGTTTCCGTTTTGTCGGCGTCAGCATGTGGTGCCGTGAATATTTTCTATGCATGTATGGTTAGGTTGTGTTTTGATTTATTTGCCGGGATTTTATTAAATGTTCTCTTGATATATCGTTTTTATAATGTTGCTGATATGTTCAATAATGACAAAAAATTTTTTTATCTCTTTATTTATTTAGGGAAGTAAATAAATAGTTAAAAAAAATATTTTCATATCGCACCCTTAGTAATATAAGGGCACAATCCAAAAAAAGTAAATTTTTGGGAAATTTGGGAATTGATAGGGACTTAAATAATAAATGGGATCAAACTTATATAGCTCCATATTTCTGTTATATTTTTTGTACTATATGGGTCTAACTTGAAAGTGTTTTTTTAACTTGCTTGAAACTTATGGAATTTATTTATATATATTTTTTTTTTATTGCTATTTATAATACATTTATCAAAGAACAAATCTGCCAAATTTCATATTTATAACTTAAATAATAAGCATATTATTTGAAAAAATAGGTGTAATGTAGGAATCCAGAATCTTAATACGCGATTTCCCAAAAATCTACTTTTTTTGGATTGTGCCCTTATATTACTAAGGGTGCGATATGCTACTTAATGTTAGTTACTCGCTTTCTGTTGTGAACGGTTGCTTTACCAACAAGTTCTTTAATTTGTTACTTGTTTGCTTGCCAGCCGATATAAAATATAACCTCCACACTGAGAGATACAGATGAACTTGCAGATTGCCATTTTTTTAACACCGGTCATTGCACCCATCCTATCCTATTAACATTAGGAAACAGTGAAATCTGCATCGCTGATTTTCGAAAGCAGTGTCCGAGGTCATCATTTAGTCATACCCTAATCGTGGTCAATTTAACTAGTACATGGCTAACTAAAGTAATGTTCCAGATTTTGACGACCTTAGATTATAAATAACAGGTGTTCTATTACAAACGTTATTTATCTTGTGACAATTCAGGTGTTCAGACGTATTGATTTGTAGTATAAAGTACCTGAAAAGTGCGTCAATATTGCAAAGCCGGAAGACAATTTATTACCATTGTAATCGTTTTTTGTCTTCTAAATATGGAAGTGTATTTATTGATCTAGTAATTTTCAAAGAACTTTGTGTGATCTCGTAAAAGAAAGTGTCGTAAACATGAGACTTTCAACATTCCTCGGTTTCATAATTCTGGTAGTCAAAGTAAGATCCGACCCAAACCCATTTATCTATCCTAAATATATTTTAGACCAAATTATAGAAAGAGCTATAGAAGAGGAAGTAAATAGTGAGTTTCCGCACGACGATGCTAAATACCATAATGACGGAGGTGGTGATTTTAAGCAGAAAGTTGTTCATTTCAATAATGTTGTAACGAGTTCATATCAGGACAACCCAAACTCAGCGAATAAAGTAAATCCAAACGCTCAGCAAGATCAAAGTCAAAGGGCTATACCACAAGAAATTGTAAGAAAGAAGTTCTTGGAAAATTTCTTTGACGTGGAAAAAGTCCCTGAAGAAATTATCAAGAAAAGCAAGACGGTACTAACAAAATTACAAGTGCCTGGGTCTGAAACAGACTATTACACAGGTGCTGATTATTCAGGAGGTTTATACAGCACTTACAAAGAACATCCTTACGAATCTTATAACAAGAAATCAGAACAACTGAAGAACGAAGACGAACATTCTTACGATTCTTATAACAAGCACTCGGAACAACTCAAAAATGAAGACGATAGTCCTTACTATTCATATAGCCACAAATCTGAACAACTGAAGACCGAAGATGAATATCCTTATGATTCTTATAAGAAATCTGAAGAAGATAAGGAAGAAGTTGAAAATAAGAAACCCAAGGAAAGTTTCTTCGTGCAAGAATATTCAAGTGGTTATGCAACGGAATGGGATGGTAAGGACTCTGACAGGAATTACGTTCCTGATAAGAAATAAACCTAAAATAATTATAGTTATTAAATCTGAATACGAAGTTATAAACAGATTTGATGCGTATAGCTTGAGAAATATGTAGTTTCTATATTTATAGGTGAATGTTTAATATATCTAATCGTATCTAAACGCGACAGAAAGAACTCATTGACGTGCCCGGAATCTGCATTAATTAAAAATTGTTATCATACTACCGATATTTTTTATAATATTTTCTATTAGGTGAGATTGTAGATAAATATATAAATGAGCTGCGTTTTGTTATTGTTCCTAATTTTATAAACTGTAAATAATTAGTATAGTTAAGTTTGACTGAGTTATAAAATAGAAATGTTTTCATACTTTTCAATAAACATTTTGTTACTTTAGTTTTTTCATGCATACCATCTAATAAATCTTTTTTATGTCTTTATTTAAAATGACTGTATTTATATTATCATGGATCATAGTTATTCCGTGTGAAAGAGTTCGTCCAAGGAAGTACGGTAAAGTGAGCATTCCAGTTTTGGAGGGTAAGGGTGCTGGTGAAATTACAGGCATATGGGACTTATCTCTCAGGGTGAAGGGCGCAGTGGCAGTGCCCCTCAGGTCTTTGCGATTTAAGCTAAGATTTAAATAAGCTTCCAGACCAGCCATGGCAATTCGTGTCCAGGAGGAAGTGTCTCAGAAGGCTAGACAAAGATAAATGGTACTCTTTCGCGCCGAAGGTCCACCACGTCACCTGAGCTGGCTCAATGATCAGAGGATCAAAACATTTCACGAAACGTTTTCATCAAATGTGTCGATCCTCTGAGTATTGAAGTTCGAGCTGACTAACTCTAAGTAAATTCATGTAAATTTGTTCTATAATTTGACAGAGTAAACATTTATCTGTTGCAAATAAACATTTGTTAAAATCTGACCCACTCTGTAGTAACAATTCAGCTCGCTAAAATTCAGTATGACCTTATATCGTGACTAGAATTTTGATTATAATGAACACGAGACGATTATAAACGGAATCTAGTAACTCTCCAATCGCACATGATCATTGTCCCTCTTGCCTCATGTTCAGATAAGTCCACACTCAAAGAAATGTAAATCATTACACAGTGTGCTATATCATAAAATTAATTTCGATTATAAATGTAAGGTCAATGGCGATCATAACGCAGGATTACAGGTTGGATTGTAACCAAGTGTTGCAGAATATAATGCTGGTTGATTAGTTGCAGTATGAGAATTTATATTAGCTATTAGAACACAAGAGCGAAAGTAAAATAGTTAAGATAAGAAAAAGAAAATAAAATCCATTTTCGCATCCCAGATGTTCAAGGTAATTCAGATAACTTAGGCCCAATTTGCGTTATACACATTATATCGTACCTTTGGTATAATAACGCCACATGTGATGTCAAAAGTGCTTTTACCACATGAAAGTCACAAAAAAGACGAACTAAACAAAATATGTGAAATATTATAACTAATTTAAGCATAAAAAAGCTGGACAAATTTCGTTTGCAGAATCTTTAAACCTCTCCTGAAATGTTGTCATCTTGTAGATACGGTCTTTTTACACCAAAAGCTATTTATGCTTTTACTTTCCCTTTTGTTTCTGTTATGCTGAGTCACATAAATTTTACGGTGCATTTCAATACCTCCAAGTATACTACGCCAACTTAATTTTTGGACCTCTTCTGTTTTTATTTTGTTTGTTTCTTTTTCACAAAAAAAAATTGTGAAAAAAAGAAACAAAAACAAACATATTTGTTTTTTTTCGAATTTTATCTTTTGTTTCTTTATTTCTTTTCACAAAATTCGGGAAGCTTAATATTAGTAAATAAATATGGCTGTTTGAAAAAATAACAGAAAATGACCAAAAAATAAAGTTGGTCTGGTGTTAAATCAGATTTTCATTAAACCTCTAACCAGTACAATAAAAAGAAACACGTATTTCGAAGTTCTAATGCTGCTTATACCTCAAGGCATAAGGATAGGTAACCTGTGATTAGAACCTGAAGTTAAGAAAAAAGAAAAGTAATAGTTTCTACAGAAGCTGAAGATATTGAAGCTGAAGATTTATACAAACTTTGTTAAGGGCATTGACACCATCAAAAATAACGACGTAGCAACCAAAATCGAATTAAATTGGAGTACATTCTTTAGGCTTTAGGCTTCTGTGATGAATTCTCTTTCTGGAAAGATTTGGCTCGAGGTTGTAACAAATAAATCAGGGGAATAAAACGTTTGTCGCATGTGGTTTTATACGAGAATTGGCTCAGAAAATTATGGAGTTTACGAGCCGTTAAATTGTGAATTTACACATGTTGGAATCCAAAACGACAGGTGTAAAGGGGCTTAGTTTGTGATTATTGACCGTTGAAATTCGAGTTCAAGTTTGTACGTTGTAAGAAATATATTCGCTGATGTTACACATGTGTATAAGTAGGATGATTTCTCAAGAAAACAATAAGACCTTAAACATTTGAATCGTGCTCATATTAAGAACATATCGAATTGAAGTTGACCCGGTATTGATTTTTTATTCCTACCCTTGTAATCTGAAAATCTGTAACTTACGACAATCATTTAATGAATAACCATGTGTCTTAATATTCGTTTCAACATAGTGTTCTGAGAAATGATGAGTAGTAATTAATTGGGATCACTGCTAGCCACGTTGGTGGCTTGATCCAGGACGACCTCCTCATCTGGGTTAATAGCATCACTGCACCACTAATACTAGTTTAGTTTTATATCATTGTCTATTTATAAAGTTCGCAAGATTTATACGAGGTATTCAAGCTTCGGGTATAAGTGTTAATGTACACAATGAGGCGTATTTTTGGAGCGTCGGGCGGCGAGTAGGGTCCGCGGCAGCAGTGTAGCCCCGGCAGGCGCGGCGCGAGCGCACGACGACCGACCGTCCACTCCCGCGCACCCTTAGTGACCAGTGACTCGTGCAGTGACCACTAAGTGTAAGTTAGGAAGTGCTTAGCTTCGAGTGCCGCTCAGTGCTTCGTGGTGTCGCAGCAATGGATTAAGTGAAGTTTTAACTCCGCTAACATGACAATGCTGTGCTAACCTACTAATGCATGTGCGCAAGTGACAAGGGTTGAGGTCAGAGTGGTTTTTGAGTGGTGTGTGGGCGGTGGTAGGTGTGGGCAGGGAAATTTGATAAGGCGAGATGTGTGCGGAGTGGCAGGCTACTTTTGTATGCAGCGGCGGGTCGGGTGGGCCGAGGCGCGGACTATTTTTGACCGTGCGTCGTCGAGCGGGATTTCGGCTATTTTCCGAGCGCAGCCGCCGGCGACGGCCGCGTTTCATTAATCTGTATATTATGAAATTCGTGACAGCCGCACCGCCGCTCCCGCCTCCCGCCGTCCGCCACTACGCGCAACCTCACCCGCGCGTGTTTTATGGCTTATTCCAGGAATATGATACAGAACGCGCTGAAAATCTATACCACACAGTTAACACGTCATCAACATCTGTATTCTGTACGTGAAAGAGCACGATTGCTCGCTGTTGATTGAAATATCTACGAAATCAGCAAAAGTAGAACATGGAGAACACAAATGAGTATGACGAGCTTAGGCGTTTACGAATTAAAAAATTGAGATTAGTATGTTAAACTGTCAGTATGGGATTTAGTTACGACACGTTTTACGACTTGAATTCGACATCAATTGCAAGAGAATCAGAACTAAAAGAATCCGGATGTAACCCCTTAATAAAAAATAAATATGAAGGCAGTTTCTACTAAACTAAAACATTCATTCCGCCTTTAATGAGTGTGGAAACTACTATAAAACATGTTATTTATATCTCTAATATTAGTGAATTAAAGCGCTAATGATAATCGTCTAATTATTGACGTAAAAAATACACGTCATATACTTGGAATCGCAGGTAAGAGATATACTTGGGTTTGTTCCCTGTATCAAGTCTTACTACAGCCAAAAACTAGGCTCCTGCAAAGAGAAGTTTCAAGACCATTTGTTGAATAAGCCCCAGGTGGGTAGGGAAATTCTTGAAATGTTTCTTCATGATGCTATTCTTCACCAAGTGCAAATGACACAAATTAATAAAAGAATAAGTAATAACCCAAAACTTTACATAATTCAAAAAGCTTTAATGGTGCAGATCTTTGCGGAAATATGAATTCTCATTCTCCAGGATAGAAAGCAAGCGTTCTACTAGGCTCTGAAATAGACTAGGTTAAAATAAATTAACTTCCTCTAACTTAAGCCTCGCCAAAAGTTTGTGGAATCACAAGTATTTGCTAAGTTTTATTGAAATTGGTTAACGGAAAGTGGGTGTGGGATGTCATTCCCTAATTTGCCACCCTGACGTATCTACTCCCTTTCCAACAAAATCGGTTCACAAATGTGGGAGTTATCGCATAACATACACAAAAAATGCAGTCGAATTGTGAACCTCCTTTTTTGTGAAGTCAGTTAAGAAAATTTAAATAAATTTATGGTTTTCTTTCGAGTTCTTAGGTTTTCGCGATTGTTACACATTGGAAGTGAAACTGTTCACTTCGGGCACTTTACAGGTCCCATGATCAGTCAACCGTGACCATGGGACCTGTAAAGGGCTCGAAACGTCGGTTTGTTTGAAAAAACAAATATACGCGATTTAAATCCGGAAAAACAGTTTTATTTCTTAAGGTTTTGTTGACACTGTTATATGGCCGGTGTTAATTTTATTTCTCTGGAGACTTTTAATCCCGGGAATCTGGAACATTGTCGTATTTCGATTGCAACAGTCGACGAATCCCGCACGGTGGCGTACCATACCTTTTCTGTGCGTCTGGCGCACCTTAGGCAATAATCTGCTAGTACAGTCTATGTACCAAGGTTGGTACCTGACTCACCAGCCTAGATTTGATTAGATGCATTCATCAGAAACATTTACGATTGAAATTTGTACCTTGTATTTATGTAAGTATAAGTCAAAAGAACAATTTTTTTATGATACCCGAACGATACACGAACAAGTCATGGGCCCGGTGGTAACCGACAGGTATGTCCATAAGAGTTGCAGTGGCACTCGGCGCTCTAAAAAGCAAAGATTTGAGAGGCACTACCACTACGCCTGTAATATCACCATATTTCATTGACTTAAAAATTTTCGACATTCACTAATTATGTAATCAGGAAGTCGTACCAAAATGGACTTTACGACTCACAGGTTAGAAGTTGTTTAACATTTATCTACTCAGAACCAAATGGTCGGTTATAGCGTCAGGTACGAATATCTTAAGGCATCGCCTGTAAACGACAACTATTGGCAATCTTCTCACTATGTGCCATCGATAAGAAGACTTGTAACTGTACTTTGTCCTCCTATAAATAATATGTCGAATGTTTCTATTTAGTCATCATCATATATTAATCAAACACGTCACGCGAGCGAAGTCACGCGTGGCAGTCGAATCGGCACCTCATTTGACCGACTCTGATTTATCGGTTGCGCGTCGGTCAGTTGAACCGGTTTTATTTTATCTAAGGTGAGAGGTTCGGCTGCCACGCTACAGGTTGAGCACCGAATGTACAGGTTTCCTTCACGTTCAGTGGTACTCGCGGGAAAATATGAGGTCATTTTATTTGAGACTATCTGCACAAATAAAAAAATTAATAATGATGTTTTTTTTATTATGCTATGTATTATTTTATACCTAAAAATACCAATTAGATGCTTTCGTGGTTTTTTACTAAACGATTATCACTAATTTTATATATAAAAATACATTATTGACTGAGTCAAACCGTGACCATGGTGCGTATAACCGTTCCGAAATACGGGAAAAACAACAAGAACTCATATTTATTTATTTATTTAAGATTTTCTAACATTTGATTAAATTATTACAATCTTAATAACGTAAGTTAGGAACAAAAATATATCAAACAATTATAGGCAAATACCACAATTTGCCTATAATTGTTTGATATATTTTTGTTCCTAACTTACGTTATTAAGATTGTAAAAAGCAATTAGTAAAAAGGCTGTAACATTGACAACATGATTTAACATCAAGTAAAAAGAAAAATCAACAACAATTAATAACAACATCAACAATCAAGTATATAAATAAAAATATAATAATTCATTCGGCTTACTACAAAAAACTACACAATAAAAGTAAGTACTTGTTGAGTAAATGAACTAACTGTAAGAAAAAAAAAGGAAAAGCAGAAAATATTTAATATCGTGGTAAGAAATCTGTAATTTGTGATAGATAATCAATTATGAATATATCATCCAAATATATAATAATTACGTACTTTAATTAATAGTAATTAATTTAATAATTTTAAGTATGTTTTTTATTTTTTAAATTAAAAAAAACGGTATACCAATGTACAGGTATTTGGGCTATCATCTCACGGTTCTTATTTTTAAAATACTTATGACCTCTATTTTAAACTGAACAACGTTGTAGACCGAGGATACCGTCGACCGCCATTGATCGATGTAAGATAAAAACTCGTCTTCGCCAATAAGTGCATACCTGAAAATTACAAAACTTTAAGATTTTTTATTTTTATTTATTTCGTTCTTTTTATTATAGTACTTAATTACTTGTTTCAATATCATTACAACATTCACTCAGACTTTTTGCTGAGTCGTTTTTTTAGTAATTAAGTAGTTTAACTGAACTTATCGCGTTCTTTGGTAATCAAACTATTTTATTCGGGTCTAAATCGCGTGTACTGTATAGTAGAATAAAACTATTTTCCCAGAGACCTGATGTTGGATTTTAAAGTCATTCTAGGGCAGATTTTCAATAAAAAAATACAGTACAGCAACAAACAATAGCTTTTTAAATTAACAGATTATGTATTTATGTTCACCCATAAGATAAGAGATATTATTTCCCGAAAGCCGGAATTCAAAAAAAGTAAGTAATTAATTATGCGGTTTAAAATTTAATTGGTCATTTTTTGTATCAATATGTAAACATTTATCTGTATACTTGGAACAGTCTTTTCCGGTCACTGGTTATGACTAATATTAATGCAACTCATTCTATTCTGAATTATAGTCCTAAAAATTATTAGTTTGTCTGCTATAATATTACTTTATGTCAATATCACGATTTACTACTATGATATTCAATTTTTTTTTAAATTACTCCCCTAGTTTGTTATACTTTTTCTTCTCTCTCTCTTGGCGATTTTTGTCACAGGTTCATCTATGAGAAGTCTAGGAAGGTTTTTCTTCATTCAGCCAGTAGACTACTTTATTTTACATAAAACCAGCATGGTAAATGTCTCTGTGGCTGAACAGTTACCATGCTGGTCTGCCACGCAGAGGTCTCGGGTTCGATTCTCGCGCTGGATAAATATCATATGGCATACATTTATTTGTGTCGTGAGTTTGGATGTAATTTGTTTGGTTGTGTATTTAAGTGTCCATGGCACTCGCGAAACATGGTTTCCCATGCGCGGGGCTATGAGTGTATGCGTCATAATTATTATATTAAAAAACATATTTCACACGGTCAGCCATCACAAGTCGTTTCATTTCCAATTAACTAAATTTAGTTTAGTTTCTATTATAACCAGACTAAATAATGCTTATTGTAATAAGAAGCCAGATCTATCTCCACCTCGTATTTCAGCGTTCGACGTTGATCGATGAGGATCGTCGAACTCTCCGCATTTAACCAACTAAATATAGACATCCGTGATTACTGCAATAATGGAGTATACATAAGAGTGATGATACAATCTGGTATTTAGAGTAGCATTCATAGCAATATATATATAGACTAGTAAGGTGCTTAGTATAACCAAGTAAAGCTCTGTAGTCTCTACAAAACTCAATGGCCAGACCAAGCTTTTTTATGATATCAAGTGACGTAAGCGACACGCCTGTCCAAAACAGAAGCAGTGCCATTCAGAGCTTTAAATCACAAAGATGTGCAATCACTGTCACTGCGCCCGTCACCCTGAGACAAAAA